TAATGCTAAATCAACAGCAGAATAATACTTTCGTAAAATACAACTTTCGTTTACACAAGAATGGTATGTACTGTAAAGAGTACCATAAATTAATAACATTAATACGCAAGTCGGTGTGTGTGTGTGTGTGTGTGTGTGTTTAGGTACATAATATTGCAGACCGGCTTCTCTCTATACAAAATAACGGTCGTTCCATTTCTCTTTTACATCTTCTCTGCCAATTTATTACTTAAACGTGCCCGAATTCTTATTTACAGTAAAGGTAAGTTAAGGCGATCGGGTGCTTAAAATAAAAAAAGTAAAATCCGCCTACGACTTCCATTAACGTCACGTCGTTTGTCACAAGTTTAGTGCCCATCGCGCCCCGCAAAAACCGGAACACTATTAAATACGTATTTTAGCCTCGGAAAAACCCTATCTACCACTGGGTTGTTGTTGAATACATGTGCTAGCATACAAATGGCCGGTTTAAGAATTTTTTTATTTTTCTTTACCTCGGTATACTAAGTCCTTTCTTTGCCCATCTACAGTCTTTTTGTTTTTACGAGAAAGCTTTTTCGTCTATACCGAGACGTTAGCAATGTTCGTGCCTAAAATAAAAGAGGCTTAACATTGTTTATGTTTATTAGATTCCCCCGATTGCGCAGTTCTTTGCGCCGCAATTGCACGTACTATACCAATACATATAAAAATCCCAGTTTTATTCCTTTCTACTTTTTACGTACCCTTTTGAGAAATTAAAAATATCTCAGGAGAACAATTTGCGGTTCTTCTGTAAGACTTAAATATAGCTATTTATTTAACATGCGATTGAAATAGATGAATGAAAACAAAAAAAAATCACAAAATACGATTCAGGACAATAGAAAAGATGAAGAGGTTTTAGAAAAAAAATAATTCAACGATAAAAGTACTTTACCGCGTTCGTTTTTAATTCAATAAAATTGTTCCGGTGTAAGGTGACATGAAAGATTTGGAGTGTTCTTTCGAGCACCGACTAGTGTAAATCAAAACTACACCTATTATATTATTTATTTGATTATAATTGTATTATAGTACATTGGTTTATGAAAAAAACACTCGTTTTACCGATTTGCAGCATTGTCGGTGTCTGCGATTTCTTTGAAAACCCGCGACCCTTTGAAAAACGATACGCCGAAACACAAGTACACACGTACCGCTGCGGTGGCTGTAAAATCGGCATATATACGCAAAAGAAATGTCAACATGTCAAATCTAACCGCCTTAATTCATCACAACGATGATCCCAATTCGTCACTCAAATTTAATAAAAAGAAATTATTTAAAAGATGAACTTATATGCTTCACCGAAAACGCGTTGTAGACATTAGTGTGTTTTTATTTGACAAAATAAAAACGCTTAATAATTAAATCGAGTGTCCATTTTGTAAATATCATTCAACTATCAAAACCAACTGCGCTAATTACAAGAAATATTCAATAATTGGTAGCCTAAAATGCAATTTAAACCAACCGAAAGTCAACAAATTTAATACCTCACCAGAGAACAGGTAAAATCTAAATCTTTAACCTCCGTGAAATTATACAAAATTAAAATCTTGTCACTGAAACGTTATTCACATAATATGTCTGCTTTTTTTAAAAAGGAAACAATATAACGATTTCTGCTTATATAACAGAATATGCTAACAGACAATAAATATATACATTACAAGTACTGTTGTAAGCCAACCGTCAAAAATCCGATGGTTAATCATTTACATTAGACTTATATTATTTTATAACATCGAATTTCTACAACATAAGATACTAATGTAACTAAGTACTCTCTAAATCGTAAATAAAGTATAAGACTTGAGTATATAATTAGACAGTTGTAAATAGATATTTATCCATTATCCGTTTAATTATTAGACATTAGTTACGTCTTTTATAATTAAAAGCGTTTGAGGTTCAATGTGAGAAGTAGTAGCGCCGTTCTAAAACACTGGAGGATAATAGCTAAAAAACATTAAATATAAAAGCCAGTTAAAACAGGTGGGCGTAAACCACCCGCACTATTGTATATCCGTTTTAAATTAATTTATAGTGCAAAGAGTAACGTTAATTGTATGGTAATTATCACTCTGCAAACTAAAACGCACACAAGCTAACAAATACACATGTGTATAGAACAACTCAAAAATTAATTTGCAAAAAGATAAAGGTCATCTTGGTGAATATACCAAGGTTTTCTTGGTCTTTCATGACCCTGAAAAAATTCAATGGAAAAAAAAGGAAATTAAACATTTGCGACCTAATAGAATATCATTTTGAACGCATTATAGAAAATATTATTAAAAAATAAAACTTTTAAATAAATGATAAGATCTGGTTAGTCTCATCCTTCAATATATTAACCAAGTTTTCAAAAATAAATTTCAGTGAAATTGATATACTGATGTATTTCATGAAAATAATAACTAGAAATACAATTTAAAAACATGGTAAATCTACATATTTAAGTAAAAATATGAACACAAAAATGTGTAAGGTCATCTTAGGAATACAATTTTCGACCTATGTAGGAGGTTTATCAGGAACACACCTAAGTTCATAGCGAGAAAAACAAGTGAAAAATAAATTTGTATTTCGTTTATATTCATGTAAAACCACACGTGACATTTGGAATCTAATAATATTCGGACGTTAAACAATTAGTCAATGTTAAGCTCTTTATTACGATTCGTTAAACAGCGACTTTCTCTATACGTTGCTTCACGAACTCCCCCTGAGCCTAATATGCATAATATTATTATACCACGCTGTTGGTGCGTTACACGTTATTTGTTATTCAAACACACAAAATACAACTAACAAGATGAAATATATCCAAACAGGACGACTATGAAAAGTCAGTTAATTCATTTCCTAACATATCGACCATAATTATCGTCCGGACACGTTTAAATTAAAATACAAACGAGTACTTAGCGCAAATGATTTATGAAGTATACAAATCAGTCGAAATAAATCATAATATTAGGCTAAAATATGTTACACCTACTGGAATTCGAACCAACAAACTGCTACACAGAATATAATAACATTAAAATTTTAACTTATATATATTCATGTAGACAAAAACATACACAGCAATTATTTTTCACTTAATTCGGCCAAAGAGAATATATATTAATAAAATTACAAACAAAAGTACTCAGTACTACCAAAAAAAACCCAGCACAGGGGGGTCGAGGCACAGTGGTGACGTGGCATAGTTGGATCAAGTAAATGATATCTGACAGTGATTAAAATCACTATCAAAAATAAACGCTTCGATGCAAATCTTTAGATAGTGTTTAATTTTAAAAAAATTGGTGTTTTATTCCAAAAGCTACTTGATCTGCTGGTTCCTTATTAATATC